AGACTGTACTCTGTGGTAGCTGGTAGTTCAGTCTGAACAGATCAGTCAGGGCATCTTTACTCTCAGTGGTAATGAACAGGGCAAGAAGTTGCCAGGTTGCTCTTGAATCTCAGTATCTGTTTCTTGAGGGAAAAACAAAAAACAAAAAGCACTTGATTAGCAGCAAAATTATTCTGTGTTTTTCACCCAGTAATTTTCAGTTACTGTTTACATAGGCTAGACCTAAGCGTAGATTGAAACAGAGAGTAAGAAGAGATTTGGGTTTGTCTTTTTTTTTCTTTCTGCTGAGAGGTAGGGATCCACCCCACTGTTGATCATTCCCTCCCCACCTTAAGCAAAGTCGTTGCCTAATTTTTTTAGTATTTGAACTGTTCCTTTGGTCTTGGCAGAGTAAGATAACATTTGATATTTTCACTCACCTTTTCCAAGGGTGAGAGAAAGCACAGGGTAGTGAGAAAAGTCAGTTGAAATGATTGGCATTAAAAGACAAAAGCTGCTGAAATGTGAGAGTGATCTTTGGACTGTATATTAAAAATCAAAGATTTAAAAAGACTGTTTATGTGAGAATTAATAGCCTGATTTTGTTGACAGTTGAAGTCTTCATCTGTTACCATGGCATGTTTTAATTCACTGTCTGCATTGGTATTTCCTTCTGAAGAATTATACATGCTAGTTGCTAGTACCTCTAATATTAAAAATTCTGCCTCTTGTGTTCCAGGCAACATTTTCTGTTTCAAGAAAGACAGTACATAAAGTTAAGAGGAAGTTAAGCTGGTAGGTAGTGTTACAGAAGCTCCCCTACTTCCCTTTCTCCATAGCATGACTTTTGCCTGAAAGGTCATTTTGTTTTTCTCCTAGAGGGTTATTAATCCAAGTCTTCCGTATAGATAAATGTGGGCAAATAGTCCTCTTCAAGTAGAATTTGGAAGTGCACAGAGAATTTAAGTTGTTTTCTAAAAGATTTTATCCTGCGTTAAGAATGGTGCTGTAGCACCAAGTATTGTTTCTTTAAAAACCTTTCCTGCCAAAAAGCCAATTCATATCCAGTTTGTTATCTTACACTCACAGGTCAGGTCAGTAGTCTGTTTTTGGCAGTCTTCATGTAGAAATTCTCTAAAATCTGTCCTTATGTTAGAAATTTAAAGCTAGTCATTTGATTTATTTTTCCCCCCAGACAGAAAGCTTGACTCATGAAACAAGTTAAAGAGATCTCAAGTCTAGCTCTCAGCGGACAGAAGTCAGTATCATGAAAAATGTTACTACAGTCAGTAGTAATTGGTCTGTTGTTGGACATCCAATGGAAGAGGTTGAACCAGTCACAATATGTGACCACTCAACATGATCCTGCAGTTCAAGGGCAGTGGTGAGCCTATATGAGTAAATTTGTTCTACTCAAAGTACTGTCCTGGAAAAACGAGAGGATTTCAACCTTTAAGCTTGCCACATTAGCCTTTTTCATAAGCATTAGATTCACACTTGAGTTTGTTTTTAAAAGTGCATTGCTGTGATGCACTGTCCATTTTGCTCAGGACATACTTTACCCGATGCTCATGCCAGGTTGACTGAACCTCAAGAGACCAAGCAATTTACTGGTAGTCTTACCATGAATCATTGTCTGAAATCCTTTTGGCTGCTATATTCTTAGCATTAATCAACAGTGTTTCCTTTCATCTACTTGCTACAGGATTTTAGTTTGCATTTATGATGACTGTATTTTGGAGGAACTGGAGTAATGCTAAAATAATTTATCTTATTCTTTGAAATTCACTCTTTGGATATACGGTCTTAAAAAAGGAAGATCCTCACAGTTGTCATCCTATAATATTTTCTTCCTCTTGGGAAAGGTTCCATAAATTGAGAGAAATGTAAAGAATGTGCAAATTTTATTTACATATTTTATATGGAATGTACTTATCTTAGTTTCACTTAATCTGAAAATAGTTCACTGAATAGGATTTTTTTTCATTCATACCAAAAATCGAAAGGCCATGCAGCGTATAAGTAATTAACATAAAGAAGTGAACAAGTATATATAGTTCTTTCCTGTTAGCATTTGTAAGCTGTTGATATAGCAGAAGAGGCATTTTTAATTTAGCACTGTTTAAATTGTCCATTTCTGTATTTCTTATCTTTGTTGTAGATCTCGATTAGATTAGACATTTTAAAAAACAGCTAAGTATTTTAACTAATTGACTTCATCATTAAAAAAAAAAAAAATCTGGAAAATTATTGCGATCTACCTCAAGACTCTGTGAGGATTGTGTATTTTGTGACGTTGAAGTCAGTAAGTCTGTTTTGAGCCAATGCTGCAAAGTATTCACTTTTGCTTAGGACGTGGGGCTTAACTTTCAAGTGGATCTGAAATGAATTTCCTGAGTTGTGTGCATAGTTTTTCACGATGTCATACAGCTGCATCAGATTTTGAGCGTATTATTTGATATAATTTGAGTCACCAATAAGCTGTTGATCCAAGTGAAACCGTTAAAGGTAAACACAGCGGGTGGAATTTAAAACAAAATGAATGGCCTGTAATTTTAGATATGATAAGCTCTGTTAACAATCTTGGTCCTACAAATGGCCATCTCAAATATAAGGCTCGATTAATTTAAATTCCATATAAAAATAGTTTTTAAAAACTGTGTGGCAGAATTGTTATCACTAATTAAACTCTGGCATTCAAAAGTTTGGAAAGGATAAATTAATGGTAGTGAAAATAAACAAATGTAGCAGTTATAATGACACAGACCTTTTTATAGCACTTTCTGGCAAGAATGGTAACTGAGAAAGGTAGCTATGCATGCCATGGGTAGGTGTACAAAATTTCAAATGCCAGTAGACCAGAGAAGAGAAACTGAAACTTCTGACCTTGCAGAGCTGGAGGAGATGATGCCTGAGCACCACCACAGGTCCTCAGGGACTTTAAACCAGAAAAGATTTCTTTCGCTTTGTGATCGATTTTTCCCGTACTTTTTCCTGCTTTTCATCTCTTCTGATTCCCCAGCGTCGCCCTCTCTTCCTGGGCTCCCCCAGTACACTGTAGAGGCATTCAAGCCGCCTCTCACTGCAGCACGTAGTTTGCCAGCCAGTGCAGAGCGTTTCAGTTGTTAGATGAGTTAGACATTAGGCAAACAGCACCATTTCATACCCACTAGTATCGCTCAAATCAAACATACCCTCGTGCAATACGTCTACCCGCATCTAAAGGTCAAAACCTGATCCTCGTTACTCAATATTTTAGGCCTCCTGGTTTGCTTTATTCATTGTCGGCGCGGAACTGACAGACTGTTCGAGATCCTGGTTGTGTAATGTTGGAAAGTGCTACCAGCTGCCGCCCGGCGTGTCTATTCAGGCAACAGCAGACCTTATGAAAGCTAAAGCACATGCTGCACGGCCTTAGTTCCAGCAGAATAAACCTCCTTCCCTGAAAGCGGTGGAAGCCACCATCTAACAGACTGCGTGCTCTGCACACTCGCGGCTGACCCATGTAGGCCGGAGAAATTTCCCCAGGTGGAGAACCTGGGGCATGGTTTGCTGGTGATGATCAGAGGTAGGAAGCACCCAGGAAACTAAGGGAAGGCTGTAGGTGTGACATGAAGCTGTGAGTGTGTCACCGAGGTGGAAACAGTAGCATCTGTAGTAGCATGTGTAGTAGCACCTGTAGTAGCAAGGATCTGGTGGGAAGTCAGGCTTGGGAGCAATCAGCCAGAAGGCCTGCTGTCATTTTGTCTTCTTTAACCTGAGAAAACAGTGCTTTGTGTCCTTTCTTTCCAAATAAGAAGGTTGCTCCAAAAAGCAGTTCTTTCAGCTCTTTTCTGTTAAAAAAATTACTTTTAGCAGGTAGCAGATCACAGGTCCATTAACAGATAGCAAATCATCTGAGCTTTGGAGAAACAAGTCTGTGACAAATAAGTGCCATTGAATCAGTTCTGCAGTATGGCAAGGGGGTCAAAATCTCAGTGGTTAAAATGCCTTTGTGGGTAGCTTTGAAAACCCCTCACCAGCAAAGGATTACAGGATTACCAGTAGGCTTGGTTAGCCTGTTCCTGCCGTACTTGAGCTGGTTATTAGATTTGGACATGGGTTCCTAGGTGGGAAGTCAGCACTTGGGAGCAACGAAAAGATCTTGCTGCTCCTGTGAGGAAGCAAGAAAGGCAGCTGAAGTGGGTTTGGGAGCTGAAACCTGAGTGAACTTCTCATAACAGGAACTGGATGTGACGCCAATTAGGGCCCTAAACCATGCTCTGAATTGGTGGAAGTGGAGTGCCCAAGTCTCATTTCTGACTTCAAAATACTCCTTCCTCAACTGTTTGGCAGCCAGTTCTGAACATTTTATTAATTAGTGTTATATGGTTCTAAGTCTGCTTTTAATTCTTTTTTTTTTTTTTTTTCAAAAAACAGCCTATAGAGACATTTTCTGAGCATTCTAGTCATTAAAGCCATTTATAGCTGACAGATGCAAAGACATTATACACGATTCTTCATTTAAGGGGAATAAAAGAACCTCTTTAAACTCTTGAACTGTTGGAGTATTTACCTGTAACTTTTCCCACAAATGCATTTGAATGGCAAACATAACTGGTGAAACTTCAGTTGTGACACCCATTTGTTTTTATCCCTAGCAGGAATGAAACTACACTTAATGGAAAAAATGAGAGTTGTGTTGTTGTTGTTTTTTTTTTAAAGCATGAAGTCGTGTGAATCGCTCTCTGTTAAATTGGTGTTCGGTTGTGTAACGTTTTCTTTCTGAAGTTCACCTATAACGTGACATGTTGGATACTAGTACAATTAGCTTATTTGTTCGCCACCTGTGTGCTAAACATTAATGTGTAGGACTTTTTGGTTCTTCCTTCATGTAGTTATATGCTTATATATATACAGCCTTCCACCCACTTCCCCCACTGAACTCCCAGTTATTGGACTGTAATGAAAACTGAAGGTATTGTGTGTGCAAATCTCTAAACATGAGCATTTTATTTATTTATTTATTTTTCTCTTTACAGCAGCATAAAAAAGAAGTGTTGAGAGCTGCTCTTAACCCTTTTGGAGTCCGAAGTCAAAAGGTAAAATCAAATGCTACTTTTTGGGTTTCTGCAGGTGTTGATACTGTAATTGTTTGGAAATGCTGTTTCCCTATCACATTTGAACTGAGATTTCCCACAGGAGAAAAGCAGGGGTACGATAAGAAGACTCAAAACATTATTAGATCTCTTTAAGAGCACCAGCATATCTGGGCCTAAATTATGCAGGTAAGTTACAACTGGTAAACTGCAATTATCTATTTTACTTAATATAAAAACATTGGCGTTAGGAGTCAGTGGGACTTTCAGTAGGGTTTAATATTGCTAAGGATTTAATGATTTTTGTCTCACTATAACTTGATAGTTTTTATGATATATAAAGTTTTTTTTCAAATTACAGTAAGACAAATCCTGTAGCTCTTTTCTCAGGCAAGAGTCCCTCAATGGGAGTTTTGCCTGAGTGAGAACTGAATGAGGTCTAAATAATTAGCAATTAAAATATTCAGTTATTGTGCTACTGTATATAACAAAGCACTGGAGGTATTAAAAATTGCTAATCTCCTCCTTATTAAAATGTTAACTGCTAAGCATAATACAGCTTTGCATTTTCTATCATTCATTTTTGCAGTTCATTAGTAGAGGTGAAATGTTAGTGACAAATAGTCATTTGAACTTTTAAGGGATTGACTTTGTCAAGCAAAAGTGTTTGTGGAAGCCATGGATTTTATTCAAACACTAAATAATGTACAGAGAATAAATTTTGGTATAGCATTTGTGAGTATTTACATAGGAAGCCAGGTGGTAAGCTACTCATCAGTAGGTGGAACTAGACAGTTTGGATATTCAATTTGTATACATTTTGATCAGCAGCTTCTTGTAATAAACTCACGTAAAGAAAATACAGGTTAAGGACTGTCCATAGGGTATACTGAATAAATAATCTTCAGTGAGAGAGTTAAGAGACCAGCATGTGAATGACTCGGTAGCAGGTTAAGAAGCAAAGTTGGTGACATTGTTCAATTGTGCACCCAGCTCAGTTAATTAGCATGTGAACTGTTTTGTTACTAAGGTAGTCAATATAAGGGCCAGAGTGTGCTCTCATCCTGTTTTACTGCACAAAAGAATAAAAAGAAGTGAGATGTATCTCCCGTCTCCTTTGGCACAAAGCAGCTGCAGGAGGATGTTGGGAGAAGGAGAAAGGTTTTCGATGAGTGAGAAAGGAGTGGTGAGTGAAGGTGATGACTGGTAGATGAAGAAGGTGAATATAATGTTACTGGAAGAATTTGGTGATAGATGAATTTCCCAAGGGAAGACAATTCCCATAACACTGTTCTTCTCATAGCTTCTCCCTGGAGTAGATTTTGTTACCTCTTATGCCTAAAGATTTCTTCTAATCTTTCTGAAGAGCCATTCTAGGCCTGGGCATTTAATCGTTCCATGTAATTCTGTTGGCAATTCAGGCCATGATTCTGCAAGGATTTACACATGTATTTCACTCACAGCATTATGAGTAATCCTGTTGAAGTAGATGAGATTAATTGCAGGACATAAAGTTAAGCATGTATATTAGTCATTGCAGGAAAAAAAAAAAGGTGTAGTTTTATGTATTTATTTATTTGAGTATGGGAGACTTTTCAATGATACATAAATATGTGGGATTTTCTACCAGTTCTGTGGCTTATAAAGAGGGGTAGATGGTAACAAAATAAGCTTTTCTGCTTGTTCACCAAATCCACAATTTTGTCATGTTCTCAGCTGTAAAGTGTGAAAAAGAATAGGCTGCTATCATTTTCCTTTTTACATGCACAGTTAAACCTCTGGCTAGAATGAGATGATCATATAATTTATTATAGAGGAGCAAAGAGGACAGAAATCAAACAGGAAGACATGTGTGCTTATGTGGACTCTTGTTTATAATTTCATCAGATTGGTACACACCTCAGACATTTTATTTAGTGATAAGATATGCAGATTGTTCTGGAGCCAGCAGCAATACTTTCACCTGAATGTCAAAACTGACAGGGATTTCTAAATCAAACCTCGACAACAACTTGTATTTTAAAGCAACTGTTCCTTAGATATAACCAACTGCGGGTGAGTAAGTGCAGAATTGTTTTCATACTTCATACTTCCTTCTTGCTGTTGATTTCCCTCCATTCTCTTTTACCTCTGTAGAGGAAGAGAGTTGCAGGCTTACCTGTAAGTATTGGGTGTAACTACTGGCAACAGTGCAGAGGAGCTATACGTTTATGTGAAAGTAAGCACAAAGAACAGGAATGCAGACTGAAAGTGGGGAGACTTACAAAATGAGATTTACCAGAGGTGATATTTTCTGGTTTTCCAGATGCCTACGTCACACCTTCCATATCCTCATTTCATCTGGTTTCAGTTGGTTTCTCTCTCTTTGGTTTTAGTTTCATTTCATTCGTACTTAAAAGCGTGATCATAGAAGCCTGTGGGTACAATGGAAAGTTTGAATGTTAGCTCGATCCTTGGGATCAAAATTCCTCAAAGCTGTGGGTGTTAGCTGCTGAGGTTTTGGTTTTGAGTATACATACAGTCATGCAAGAAAGGGCCACTGAAAATACAGCTTGCAATTTAAATGTTAGTTATGTTTATTTTTGGAATCCTTGTTCAAGTCAAAGTCCACTGCATGTGAAGTGATAACGGTTTAATCCTGTATATTTTCCCCAGACTTTGTTCTTCTTCTCCCTTCTGTGATTGTCTTCATAACATAACTACATCCGAAGTCGTCCAAGGGCTTTTTCTTAGAGCTTGTTTTCTTGTTGTTCTTAGTGTGTGTGTTTATTAACCAGGAAGACATTTGGCTGAAAACATTTAACAAGGGACAACAATTTACGTATTCCTGTTACTGTACATGGGTATATGTGTGGATGTGCGTGAGACAGAGAGAGGTGATTACAGAGATTATGAAAGATCGCTGTTTGTTTTTGATTACATGCCTAGTTGCGTATGTTGTTCTGACTCTCTGAGTTCTGTTATATCACTTGGTCATTGTGTCCTAATAAACCCTTTTTTGTGGTAGATGAAAACGTCTGGTCGGTTGCATTTTCTGCACCAGCCTCTTACAGGTGAGATTTTGCTTTCCACATTTAAATAGGAGCAACAAGTTTGTTTTCCTACTAGATGAGAAGAAGGATTTATATCTGCATTCATGATTAGAGGAGTTATGACCTGTCTATACAATGTAAGTCCCACAATATTTGCTCTGGGAATTGGGTCCCATAGGTTTCAGGGTCCCCAGAATTACTCTTTGTGGAAAAGGACTTCCAAAATTCTCAAGGCTTGCTACTTATGCAGATTTAGGCCACTGCAGAACATTTTGTTTACAACAACTAGTACTAGGACTTACGCTGATGTTGTGGATACTTAAATCCTGCCCACTCAAACAGAGGCACTTCAAAATAATTAAAGTAAATGAATAATCCACACACAGAGCAAAGCCTTTCAGAGGGAAAAGGAGTTTATTGAAAGAAGGAATTTGCTTTTTTTTTTTTTTTTATAAATAGTTTTTTTTCAAGGTCTTCTTAAATAAACAGCAAATGCTTTTGTTGTAAAAAATAATAATAATAATAAAAAGCTTAAACTTTAATTTTCTTTTTTATCATGGATGATGAAGTTAAATCACTGAAAACTAGAAGAGATCATGTTGAATTTGATTTCCCAAAGCTGAAGTCCAGGCAGTAGTGTATTGCCTCACTGCTAAAAGCTGACTGCGGTAACAGTGGGAGAAGTACAGTGGGTGTTGTGGTATGCTCATCTTTGATGCACCGCTTGAAAAGTATTGGTGGAAAGATTTGAAAGAATTTTGCAGGAATTTCTGGAGCTTTCTGGGGACTGCAGGGTAAAGCACCAAGAGAGGGGGAACAGCTATGATGACTTTGATTTTTCCCTGATTGGCTAGAGGGAAACCCATTGTTTAGTCTTTCAACTAAATGGATGCCCTTTAACCATCTGCTCCAATATTAATACCATGGTGGCTCCAAACAACATTGGTACTTGCCAGTTGCCATTAAAGTTGTTTACTTCATGCTGTATAGAAAATAATTGCCTATAGCTGATACCAATAACCTTATTAGTCTTACCATAAACTACGCATACATATTTGATAAATGGGAATATTTGTCATATCCTTTCAACATCAAGCTTAACAGAAAATCTTTGCTCCTGCAAGTTTCTTCCTTACATGCAAAGTCCAGGAGGCGAAATTCAGCTTCTTTCTTATATTGACATCAGATTTGCTGTTTTTTTTTTCTGTGCTAAGTTTGATTCCAGGCATCCGGCAGCATTCCAGAGGGACAGGCGACCAGCATCACAGTCTGCAATGCTGCTGCTCTACCTGCCATGAATAATAGCCCACTGGGCTAGTTAATCATTACACTCACTTTTTCCTGTTCCTTCATAGCTGATTGCTGCCCAGGGGACATGGGTTACCACAGTCTGGCTGCCAACACAAAGTTCAGTGGTGTGTGTGTGTGTGTTTATGTTTACCTGCATGTATACGCACTGTGGTTTTCAGCAGATATTGTAGTAAATTAACAATGCCAGGTCAGTGTGTATACTTTCCTGTACAAAAAGAAAAGATGGGAGAGAGAATGTTTTATTTTGGTAAAGACATTTACAGTTCCTCTAATCAACACACTAGCACAACAGGTTTCCTCATTTAGCACTTTAAAAGTGGAGTTGGAGGATGTTAAAATTTTCTTTCTTAGCGATTCATGTTGATTTGCCAGGGGCCATGATCTGACACATTCTCTCTGAAAAAGACAACGTCCCTGTCCGCTAGGAGTGAAAAAAAGTATGGGCAAGAAACAGAACGTCAGTGAAGTCTTTTGAGATTCAGAAGAAGGTATTTAACCACGATAGGTCTTGTTCAGATATATGCAGTTGTATTGACTGCTGGGGTGGAAGCCAAGACAAAACTTTCCTTTAAGTTAGATTTTTTTCATCTTAAGTGTGAGTCATCTTGTAATACCTGATGGATGTGGTACAGATGACACATTTTTGATGACACATGAGCA